CTCTCTCTTCACACTCTTAGTTGTTTTGTTTGCTGTGCAGAAACTTTTAAATTTCATGCCACTGCACTTATTGATTCTTGATTTTCTTCCTTGAGCTTTAGGGAAGCTTGTTAAGTCTTGTTAAGGAACTGCATGCCTGCACTGATATGTTGGGAGTGTCAACAGTATATTTTCTTCTAGCAGTTGAAAATGTTTCTGTTCTAATTCTATTATGGTTTAAATATAAGGTATTCCCAAAAAGTTCATTTATGAGACAATGCAGGAATTTTTAGAGGCGAAATGAAGTGTGACCTAATCAGAGGATTAGTCTGCTAATCGATTAACTGGGTAGTAATGATAAGCAGCTAGGTTGTGGCTGGGGAAAGTATGTCACTGGGGGTATGTATGCCTTTGGGGCTTATATTTTGTCCTTTGGAGCAGAGCTTTTTCTCGGCTTCTTGGTTACCATGACCTGAGCCGCTTTCTTCTGCCACACACTTCTGACATGATGTTCTGCTTCAATAAGGTCTAGAGCTATGGAGGTGGCAAACCATGGGCTGCATCTCTAAAACCAGGAGCTAAAATAAACTCTTCCTTCTCTAAGTTATTCTTGTCAGTTTTTTTAATCATGGCAGAAAAACTGACTGAAACAAATTTCCAGGTTTTTGATCCACTCTGAGTTGACTTTTGTAAAGGGTGAGGGATGGGTCAAGTTTCATTTTTCTGCAAATGGACATACAATTTTCCTAGCATCATTTGTTTAAAAGGCTACCTTTTCTCCAACATACACCTTAGTGAAGTGTCAGATGACTGTATCCATGTGGGTTTGTCTCGAGTCTTCTATTCTATCCCATTGGTCTCTGTGCATGTCTGTTTTGGTGCCAATATTATGCTCTTTGTGTTCCTCTAGCTGGGTAGTATAATATGCATCCAGCATCATTTTCTTGCTTAGGATTTCTTTGGCTCTTCTGGGTCTTTTATTGTTCCAAAGGGATTTTAGGACTATTTTTTCTACTTCTATCAAGAATGTCATTGGTATTTTGATGGGGATTTCATTGAATCTGTATAAAGCTTTGGTGATAATTAATTTTGACAATATTAATTCTGTCTATCCAAGAATATAGGAGATCATTCCCTCTTCTAAGATCTTCAATTTCTTTCTTAAGTGTTCTATAGTTCTCATTGTAGAGGTCTTTCACCTTGGATAGATTTATTCTTAAGTATTTTATTTTATTTTGTGATATTATTGTGATAGGATAATTTTCCTGATTTATTTCTCAGAAGGATCCTTATTGGAGTATAAGAAAGCTATCAATTTTTGTATGTTGATATTGTATTCTGCTACTTTGCTTAAATTTTTTTATTAGCTCTAGAAATATCTAGTATAATTTTGGGGGTCTTCTTAGATAATGTCATCAGCAAACATAAATAATTTGAATTATTATTTTTCTATTTAAATCCTTGTAATTTCCTTCTCTTGCTTGATTGTTCTGGTTAAAGTTTGAAAAACTATGTTGAATAAGATTTGCAAGAGTGGACATGCTTGTCTTGTTTCTGATTTT